GTATAAAACAGAAACAGAATAGAATGTTAGTTGCCAGGACTGAGGGATGGGAGAAATCGGAAGGTATTGGTAAAAGGATACAAAATTTTAGTTATAAAATGAGAAAGTTTGGGAAATTTAATGTACAGCATGGTGACTATAGTTAAGAATACTATATTGTGTGCTTGAAATTTGCTGAGAGTAAATCATAAGTATTCTCATGATACACACACAAAGATAACTATGTAAGGTGATAGATGTTTTCATCAACTTGATCATGGTAATCATTTCACAGTTTATATATATATATCAAATCATTGTGTTGTAAACTTTAAATATATATAATTCTCTTTGTCAGTTACACCTCACTGAAGCTGCAAAAAATGATTTAAAACAAAAGCAAAAAATGTATAATTGTTTTTATTTCCTCCCCAAAATATGAGAAAAATAGAAAAGTTTTCATAAGCTGTCTGTGCACATTGCATGTGTGTACGTGTCTGTGTGTGTGGTAATTTATACATGTTAAAGGAAATAGAACTGAACTATACTTTTTAATTTTTTGCCTCAAAAAACTAAAAATATAAGTACCATATGATCCTGTAATTCCAGTCCTGGATATATATCCAAAGAAAATGAAAACACTAATTTGAAAAGATACATGCACCCCAATGTTCACAGCAGCATTATTTATAATAGCCAAGATACAGAAGCAAACTAAGTGTTCATCAACAGATAAATGTATATGAAGCTATATATATATTATACATATATATATATACACACATATATCTTTAAGTTATATAAATACATACGTGTGTGTGTGTGTGTGTATAAGTTATACATTGTATATATACATATACATGTATATTATAGGACTATTAGCCATAAAAAAATGAAATTTTGCCATTTGCTACAACATGGATAGGTGTAGAGGGTATTCTGCTAAGTGGAATAAGTGAAATAAGAGACAAATACTGTATGTTATCACATATAGGTGGAGCCTAAAAAATAAAATGAATGAATATAAAGAAAAAGAAACAGAGTCACAGCTATAGAGAACAAGCTAGTGGTTACCAGTGGGAAGAGGGAAGCGGGGAGGGGCAAGATAGGGAGACAAAGAGGTACAAACTACTATGTACAAAATAAATAAACTGCAAGGATATGTTGTACAGCCTAGGGACTATAGCCAGTATTTTATGATAACTTTAAATGGAGTATGATCTATAAAAATTCTGAATCACTATGTTGTCTACTTGAAACTAACATAATATTGTAAATCAAC